GGGCAGAGGGCTTGGAGGGCATGGGGAGGGACTGAGATGGCACTGGGAGGGACTGGGATGGCAGTGGGAGGAACTGGGAATCGAGTGGGGGAGAAGGGGCTGGGCTGGGGGAGCACTGGGGAGAGAGTTGGGAGATGTGGGAGTGAAGTGAGAACGACTGGGAATGGACGAGAGGGTCTGGAAATGGATCGAGAGGGACTGGGAGTGACTGGTGTGGACTAGGAATGACTGGGAGTGACTGGGAAGGAAGCGATCGGGACTGGGAGGCTGAGTCGTGGTGAGGGAACTCTTTGGTTTGGGTCTGCCTGGCAACTGGTGCGTCATCAGAGAGACGCGCTGGGATTGGCTGAGGGGCGTGAGCTCGGTGGCCCCAGCGGGGTGGAGACGCGGGGGGCACTGGGAGAGACTGGGATGGACTGGGATGGACTGGGAGAGACTAGGGGGCATTGGAAGGACTGGGAGAGACTGGGATGGACTGGGAAGTACTGGGAGGGGCAAAAGGACTCGGGATGGGCACAGGGAGGGCTGAGGGGTCTGGGGTGATTCCCAGGGAAGGTTTGAGGGGCTCCAGGGTCATTCCCGGGGAATGGCCGAGAGTACCCGCTCTGCCCCACGCTCACCTCTGCGGTTCACCAGGAACGGGGTGAAACCCTTGTAGTTGTGCTGGCATCTGTCCACCGCAGACCGTTTGTACTCCAGATATTCCTGTTGGCTGTTCCAATGCCTGGCCTGGATCTCCCCAAGCGGGGTGTCCCCCACATAGACCCCCACATCGCTGTCGAAGTGCAGGAGTTGCTCCCGGTTGTAGATGTGCCTCTCCAAGTACCTCACCCGCTCGGTGCCGTTGATGAAGTGACACTCGGCCTTTGCAATCTTCTGGAAAACCCCTGTGTGTGCAGGACACGGGTCAGGGGGTGCCCCGTCAACCCCCCATCATCCCCCAGCCCCCCACAGCAGGCTGGGAGCTCAGGGGGCCATCCCGGACCCCCCTTTCCCACCCCCCTCTGCCCCACGGACACCCCAGCACCGGCTCTTGGCTGGGGGGGAACCCCCCCATCAGCCCCCCGGGGATGGACAGGGGGGTTGGGGACCTCCCCACTGCGGATCCGACCCCCCCAGAGCCCCAGGGAACCGCTCCAGGGCTCCAGGGACACCCAGGGACCCCCAGGGCACCCCTCTGCCTGCTCTCCCACACCCCCTTGCCCCCCTCTCCCACCCCTTTCCC